GAGTTGATTTCCTGGTCTGGTCTACCAAGCAGAGCTGACACAATCTGACTGGCAATCAGCTCATACATCCAGCTCACAATACACTATTCTGAGGAACCAATCAAACAATGAATGTAGAATAGCCAGCAAGAGGCTGACTTGTAGTATTGAACACCAAATGATTGTGAGGAACAGTGTGGGGGATCTTTCTATCTCAAATCTGTGAGTGATAAGTACTGAATCAGAACTTTCTGCTTGTAGCCATTTTATCTTCTTTTCTCTTTCAATATATATATATATATATCCTTGGGTATATAGAGAGAAGATAGAGAGTTAATGACAGAGACTCTTAAATCTCTTCTCTATACGATAATACTCAGTTCTTCTTGAAGAAATACTGAACAAATTATTATGGAAGTTTTTTTGGTTCTCAATCAATAGTAGAAGGAGTATATATATATATGTGTGTGTATAACACACACACACACACACACACACACACACACACACATCCTTGTGCATTCACTTACCAAAAATAGGAGCTTTTTCTTTGCCAGACATGGAAATTATCAAGTTTGCTTAAGCTATTGTTAATTATTTTTATCTGCTGTGTTCTGTGAGTGTTGATTTTAATATTTTTTAATGCTTTAAAGTTTTGATACTGTAAGCTGCCCAGTCACTGGATATGAGATGGGTGGCAAAATAAATTTCATAACAAACAAACAAACAAACAAACAAACAGCCTTTAAAAAAACAAAAATAAATCTCCAGGGAAATCTCCAGGGAAAGATTGAAAAATTTGATTCTAATTAAGCTGAAATGAAGATAAGCAGTAAAATTCTCTCTAGAAACTTTTTCTAATATTATTCTAACAGTAATGATGTGCTTTCATTTATGTTTCATTTTCTTTAAAGCTATTTTACAGTATTATATTTCCCCCCTGGAAATGTGTCTGTTTTTCATTGGGGCATTATAAGGACAAACGGATGAGAAAAGGGAAGGTAATGAATCAGCTAGAGCTTTCAAATGCCTAAAGAAATATGAACTCGGAATGAGTTATATTATACAATACATATTCTGCTAAATATCTGTCAACATGAAAACTGGATAATGGTAAATTATAAGACTTTTCTTCTCTTTAGGGAATGCATGATAAAAACTAGATTTATGTAGCTTCTGGTTAATAATAAATATCAAATATTGCTCTGGTAATTATGCCTCCATAAAATGGTATTTTACAAATGTGATAAATAAGTTGTACTTATTTTATAAGAGTACTATTTTATTTGATCTTCATGCAAATTTCATTGAGCTTAAAATGTTCTACATTTTAAATTATACTATTTGACCTGATTTGCCTGTGTTAATTTAAAAATAGAAATAAAGGAAGACCTCCAATGTACTGCCTTGAAATAAATTAAAACAATAAATTAGAACTTCTGAAGAAGTTCCATATGATCACCAAGACATATATGGATAAGATGCTTATCTCTATTAAGGCATTTACCAAACCTGATATAATGCTAAATTTTGAGGAATAGAATTTAATCACAAAGAATACAAAATCACTAGAAAGGAAATCTAACATGTAAGGCAAGGACATGGATCCAAAAGCAGTTGAATAATACTCTACCAGAAACATATTTGCCTTTTCCCTAAGATAGAGACTGTTTTCACAGTGAAAGAAACTTTTGATCTTCTAGTACAGTGATAGCTAACCTTTTCCGGACTGAGTGCCCAAAGTGTGCGCATGTGCATGAATGCACATGCTCCCCGAATCCCCAAAATACAATGAGTGCATGGCCCCCCACACATGCCTCGTCCCCATGTGCATACACGCATGTCCCACACATGCCCTCCCACATGCACACGTGGCCCCCCACATGCACACTGGGCCCTCGTGCATGCGTGCACCCCCCCGCACGCACCTTGCCCCCACACATGCGCAGCAGAGACCCGAAGACCAGCTGGATGGCAGGAGGCATGTGCGCATGCATGGAAGACCTGAACTGGAGGAACAGCTCGCGTGCCCACAGAGAGGACGTTGTGTGCCACCTCTGGCACGCATGCCATATGTTCGCCATCATGGTTCTAGTATATTTCCAGGGTACTTGAGAATTTTTTAAAACTTTTGGCGAGGTTTTTGAACTTACTCTATTGTTGAGGCTTTCTATAGCTATCATTCCATCACTTTGAAATCTAGCTTATACTGTCCATCTAAATAAAGCCCCAATAAGTAGAGCTTCTTCGCAATGCCTTTATTTGATATTTAAAGAGACTGCAGGATACTGGAGTGAAGTTTGTACACATGCCCCTGGGTTACCTCATAAGAAAATTGGTGTACTGAAGGATCACCAAAATCTACAAGGAGGATTTTCTTTCATTTCCTTCTCTTGTTAGATAATATATTGTCTATGGGGCCTGATTTGCGGAACATCCTATTTTTAATTTTCACTGTGATTCTCATTCAGGATCTCTACAGTATATGGACAGGCCATCACAATATATTTATTTTATTTTGACCCTTCACTTTAGAATTCAGCCCACATTCATTCATCAGCTATTCATTATCAGTTCTATCTCTTCTTGGTTTAATGTACAAATTTAGTTGAATATTGTATTTTTATTGCATTCAACTTTGGTTTGTCCGAAGATATCCAAATCTCACTTCCATATAACAAAGTAAGTAGAAGCACACTTATATACAACCCATTTATTTCCTTTAACAAATATTCACTTTTAGTAATAAAGCATATGCTGTCACTAACTTTTCTAGCAGTGCTTGCCTGTCTTAAAATTTCTCCATCCATTTTACAAGTTAATAAACATCTACTTTCTTTCTTCATTTTTCTACTTCTCTCCTGGCCACTTTTTACAGAGGCACGATTGAGAGTGTTTTAACAAACTGTATCTCTGTTTGTTTGGTGGCAGCAGTGCCTCAGATAGAAAGTCCATACAGAGAGTGGTAAGGACAGCAGAGAAGATTATAGGAAGCTCACTTCCTGTTATTCAGGATATTGCATATAAGCACTATGTGCTTAGAACTCCAAGCATTGTTAGAGACTCCACACACCCACTTCACAGTCTGTTTCTGTTGCTCCTCTCTGGGAGGAGATTTTGAAGTATTTCTAGCAAGACTACCAGATTCTGTAATAGCTTTGTTCCCTATGCCATCTGTCTGGTAAACTCACAAAATTTGTTTTTCTCGCCATGTATATATATACATCTGAACTAGACTGTATTGTTTCTCTGTGTCACATAATATGTGGGTATATGCATACTTTTGTATTTATTTATTTAGTTAGTTAGTCAGTCATGTTTATGTAGTGTATATTGGAAGTAGTGACCCTTTGAGAGCTGTATACAACAAAATTTCAAAATTTCATTTTAATTTATGCCAATTAGTGTACATTCAAAGTGACAATAAAGTTAGTCTAAGTAAGTTGAGTGCCAAAAATCATCTACTTGCTTTACTTATTTATTTTCCAATCTATGAATTACTGCAACCATTACTGAATTTACTGCCACTGAATCATTAAATTTCAGATCCGTGCTCCTAATTGCATCATATAAGATATTTTACCTTCATCATATGCTGCTCTTATCACTTTCAGGAACCAGCTCTCGATTCTATTTTCTCATAAAGATTCCATCATTCAAGTTACCATACACTTTTGTCAAAAAGTAATCAACTCCTCTCAGATTTTCTGACTTTTTCCATATAACTCCCAATCAATCAAAATTTTATGTGGATCTTGCTGATTTATAAAGATGATGAGGGTGACAGTGCTTCCTTCATTTATTTCATGAACAATTCATCCCACGTGGAGTGCACAAGTATGAAAAAATAATCACTCTTTAGATTTGATAACTGAATGTACAACCTTTAACTGCAATATCTGCAAGGAAACATTTCCCCTAATTGGTGATGTATCAGATAGATATACAGAATTGGTGTCACATTGATGTATAGAATTTGTGCTCGTTTCTCCATGGGAAATTGCTTCAGCCAAAATATTTAAGGTTTTTCTAGCATGAACAGTTTGCTTTAAAAATTGGAATTTTTCTTTCATCCGTTCTTGTGGACTTGCTTATATATTTGAGAACATTATCTTATTGCACATTTATAGCTCAGCTTCAGCTGATGGACGGATGGCTGATATTCTCCTGTAGAATTCTTTGACACAAAGTACAATTAGTGATTCCTTCAATGATGGTAAGTCATCCAGGTCCTGAGGCAGCGATGTCTTCCCAAACCATGACACTTTCCATGCTTCACAGATGGTATAAGTTCTGATTGCAGAATACAGTCTTTGGTTTCCACCAATAACCTTTCCAGATTGACAGACATCATCGACTATTTTATAGAAGTCTTCCAAAGTGTCCTTTGTATTGGGAATAATGTTTAACAGGGAGGAAAAAATAAGGAAATGTATGCCTACCAACATTTTTGTAATTGCCCTTGTTGCTAGATTCTGCATTTTTTTTAAATAAAAAAAATCACATGAGATAGAACAATATTGCTGGATTCTATTACCATTTTAAACAACTTTGAAAAAGCCTGAATCAGAGAGAGGAATAGATTTGCATTTTTTTGACAAGGCTTTTGAGAGTACTAATGCTAGTAGTGATGATCATGTTATCTAATCACGACTTGAAGAATCAGAGTTAAATGATAGTAGTTTTTTTTTTTTACATTTGTCAAAGATGTTATTAAAATCATTTCCATCTTGTCTTTGTTTCTCCACTACTTATGATTTGCCTAAACGCTGCTGAAAGGCCTTGAAACTGAAGCATTTATTGTCCTCCAACTTCTCTGATTACCTTTTGTTTTGTCTCCTTGTATTCCTGACTGCCTGATTTGTATTTACAGCCAGTCATTGTGAACAAGTGAGAAAGACTAGAATGTGCTGCAGCCTATAATATGTTCCTTGTCCTTCTCCTCCCTCCATATGCATAACAAGGGACTCTGGGACGTTTAGTTCGTGAGATGACAAGTCACACAGGGAAACATAAATCCCTCGATTTCTCAATTACAAGTTTTAGAATTAACTGCATGGCACATTCAGGCTATAAAAGGAGCCAGGGCTGACCCAGCGGCACGTGATTCGGCTTCCTTTTTGTTTTTGATTGGTCACATACTTTTGTATGCAGAGGATGTTAGGTTGTTGGTTGAGAACCCAAATGATTTGCAGTGGTTGTTGGGTCTCATCTACGCATTCTGTCAATCTGCTTTTCTCTCATCCTTGAGATGGCAGGAAAATCAGTCAATCGGAGAAGCAATCCCTCCACATTGTTCCACTTACTAGGCCGCAGGAACAAGTCTTTAGAGGTGCTACTTTCACACAAAGAGGGTAGCTGCCTGCTGCCTGCATAAGAATGAAGAACAGAAAAAAAGAATGAAGAACAGAAACTGGAAAAGGATTCTCCCCTTTATCTCCTGTCTAACTTTCCCTGATTAATCAAGGACAACTCCTACGACTTCCCAATCCCTCTTCATGCTACTTCCTTTACTAATGCCTGTGGAGATTTTCAGGCATCCAGATCATTATTGTCCCAAAGGTGCTTTTTTTCAAGAGGCAACTGGACTTTTTGATTTTTCCTTGAAGACATTTTGCTTCTCATCCAAGAAGCTTCTTCAGCTCTCACTGGATGATGGGGAAATGGAAGGATATCTGTAATGAAGGAGGTCTGTAAGGGGCATGAATAAGAGCACCAGTGTGCCTACTGTCCCTGTCCTAATGTTTCCTTATTTGTATCTATTTTTTAAAAAACATTTTATTTATTTTTCAATGTCTTAGTCATAAAATACATCTTTTAAGAGCAAAAGTTTGGTCCATTATTAGATAAGTACAATTGCCCACACTTCTTTAACCAATTTGATTCCAAATTTCATCCATTTATATCTTTAAAAAGAAAAAAGACTTCAAATCACCAATTTTTTATCATACATTCTAACATCTTATTCTAAACACTTGGCATTCTGTTGTATCACCATAAATCTTAAGTCACAAATAAACACAGCTCCTTTTTGTATACAATCTTTCATTTCCAAATAAACACCATTCTAAATTTTTATCATTTTGTCAATCAGAATTCCATATATATTCCTTAATCTTAAAATCCATTTCATCAAATCTATATTTTAACCTCTATTGATTTACATCTAATTTCCTTAATCTTGTCATGAAATACTCTTCTCGTTATACATAAAATCACTTCAGAATCAGTTCACATTATCATTCATTCCACGTTTCCATCCATAATTTTATCTAGTTCCCAATCTACTTTATTTTGGCTAATTTCCAGCGTATTGTCCATTACTCCTAGATCTATTATTTAGCTATTTCACAACTAAATTAGTTGTTTTCCAGCATATTCTCCTCAACTCCTCTCGCTGATTCCCAGCATATTCTCCTCCACTCCTAAATCTATTATTTAGCTGGTTCACAGCAAGCTGTTTTCCAGCATAATCTCCTCCATTCCTCCCACTGATTGCCAGCATAATCTCCTCCACTCCTAAATCTGTTATTTGGCTGGTTCACAGCATTTTAGTTTAGCTGTTCTCCAGCATAGTATCCTCCACTCCATCCACTGATTACCAGCATAATCTCCTCCACTCCTAAATCTATTGTCACTGATTACCAGCATGCTTTCCTCCACTCCTAACTCTACTTGTTTGGCTGGTTCACAGCATTTTGTTTTAGCTGTTCTCCAGCATAATATCCTCCACTCTTTCTGCTGATTACCAGCATAATCTCCTCCACTTCAAGGTCTATTGTGGATACCCCCAGGCTTATGGTCATGGGGGATTTCAACCTGCCATCCATTGGTGAAATGTCGGAAGCGGCTCGGGAGTTCATGGCTTCCATGATGGCATGGACCTGACCCAGTTAGTTCATGACCCTACCCACATAGGGGGACACACGCTAGACTTGATTTTTGTCTCTGGTCAGTGGCTGAATGATCTCACAATAGGGGATCTAGTCATCAAGCCCTTGTCATGGACAGATCATTCGCTCCTTCAGCTGGACTTTTGTACCACTCCCCCTCGCCACAGGGAGATGGAATTGACCAGGTGGTTCCGTCCCAGGCACCTGATGGACCCCGAGAAGTTCCTGACGGAGCTTGGGCCATTCCCAGAGGCTCTGACTCAGGCTCGGCTGAGGAGCTGGCAGCCACCTGGGATAGGGCAGCCGCCGTAGCCTTGGACCTCGTTGCGCCTTCGCGGCCTCTGACCCAGTGCTGCTCTCAATTGGTTCCTTGGTTCTCCGAGGAGCTGAGAGAGATGAAGTGCCAGAAAAGACGCCTAGAGAGCGATTGGAGGACCAGCCGTGCTGAATCAGACTGGACATTGATGAGGTCTTATATCAAGACCTACCTAGTGGCAATAAGAGTGGCGAAATCTAACTATTTTTCCACTCTTATTACATCTGCAGAGAACCGCCCAGCAGCCCTGTTCAGGGTGACCTGCTCCCTACTCCAGGTGGGAGCGAGGGAGGACCCCTTTCAGGGTAGAATTGAGGATTTTGGGCAGTATCTGCATGATAAAATCGCTCAGATTCGGCACAGCCTGGACTCTGATTGGATAGTTTCGGACGGGATGACAGAGGCAAGTCTTGAGACTGTTATCTGGGAGGAGTTTGACCCTGTGACTCCTGAGGACATGGACAGGATTTTGGAGAGGCTTAATGCTACCACAGGTTTACTGGACCCATGTCCCTCCTGGTTGGTGCTGGCCTCCCGGGAGGTTACACGAGTCTGGTTTCAGGAGATTACCAATGCTTCGCTCGGTGAGGGTGTCTTCCCAGCCGCCCTGAAAGAGGCAGTGGTGAGGCCCCTCCTCAAGAAGCCTTCCCTGGACCTGGCTGTTTTAGCTAATTATCGTCCTGTCTCCAACCTTCGCTTCGCGGTGAAGGTTGTCGAGAGTGTGGTGGCGAGAGTGTGGTGGCAACTTAAAATTGGTTTTAAAATGAGAGTTTTAAATTCGGCCTATGATTTAATTATTTTAATCTGCTCTTAAATTCTATTTTTGTACATTGTTTTTATTATGGCTGTTTACCGCCCTGAGTCCTTCGGGAGAAGGGCAGTATATAAATAAAATAAAATAAATAAATAAAATAAAATATTGTTGCTGATTGCCAGCATGCTTTTCTCCACTCCTACATCTATTATTTTAGCTGTTTTATTTTAGCTAATTCAGAGGATATTACATAGATTGCTTTTTCAACATATTCTCCTCCATATCTCCTGCCAATTTAAAATAGAAATGTGTTACAACAAATATCTTCTCACATATTCTCTCCTGGATTATAAATTTTCCTTAAATTCATCCCATTTCATATTTATTCTTATTTTTCTGTAAAGGCAACATTTTTATCTGCCTTAAAATCAATTTTCTCTAATTATTAAATCTATAAATAACTCCTGTTAATATTCAGAATTCATTTAAATATTTAAAACATCCTATTCTCATTTAATCATTTATATTCTTGTTTCATGACCAGATTGATATATGTGTGTATGTATGTGTGTATGTATGTGTGTATGTATGTGTGTATATATATATATATATATATATATATATATATATATATATATATATATATATATATATATATATATATGTATATATGTAGTCAAATTTAAAAGGAATGGAAATAAAAAGTAAAAAAGAAAGAGATAAAAAGAAAGAGAAGAAAGAAAAAGGGAATGAAAAGGAAAAGAAAAAAAAGAAAAGAAAAAGAAAAGAAGGAAAAAAACCCACCTCCTATTAATATTCAAGCTTCATTCAAAAATTTAAACATTACATTTCCGTTTTTAATCAAGCTGTTTTATTTTTCTTATCTCACAACCAGCTATATTCTATTTCTTCCTTTTCCCATCTGTCCAAAACTGTTCCTTTTCAAATTCAATATTATCAAAATTAAAAAAACTCTGTAAAGTTTAGCTCTTTTGTAACATCTATTCCATATATAGTATCATTGTCTCTTCTTTTGTTGCCTACTAGTTCAATTTTAATTGTTCCATTTTATTTCTTCTTTCTTTCCATCAATAAAACCACCAATAGACAGATTGGGAATCCCCAGAGTCAAATCTCCTTGGTTGTTCAAAGTAATCCAGTTTAGGTAGCAAGACACATTGTTTCCCTTTCAAAAGCAATCCAGAATTTACACTTTCACTTTGTCGCAGCAATCCTCCATTTTGTCCATTATATAATTGTCCACTTGTCCTTTCCCCTTAGTTTTTAAAGATTCCTGCTTATCGCCTCTCCCCTCTTTCTCTCTCCAAGAGTAGTCCATTCCAATTTAAAGAGATTTCAAAGTTTTGTAACTTTCCAACACACAGTCATTCCAAATCAGTCCATAATAAAAGTAACTCCTTGATGGGTCTCTTCCTCCTGCAAATTATCTTACTAAGTCTTCTTGCCCCAATAATCAGTAGCTGCTAATTAAGGCTAAGAGCTCACTTGTAAAAGTCCATTTTTTGAGCGCTGTTCCCGCCTGGATTAATATCACTCACCCAGTTTCCAAACGCTTCGCTCTTTTTTCTCCAATCTTCTCTTGCAAAACGCTTCTCCGGTTTGCCCCAGCTTTGAGGCAGCCGCCATGGCTGCCGCATCCCCGCCACTGACTCAGAGGGAATTTGCCCGTTCCTCTCGGCCATCCAAGGTGTCTCTCTCTTTCCCCTGTCCCTACTTAAAATTTTAAAATAATTAAAAATATATATTTTACTAAGCTTTTAAAATTTTAAATTCCAGAGCTCGCAGAATGTCTTCTTCTTTCTTTACTAGGTATAGGTATAGGTATAGGTATAGGTATAGGTATAGGTATAGGTATAGGTATAGGTGTGTGTGTGTGTGTGTGTGTGTGTGTGTGTGTGTGTGTGTGTGCATACACACACACACATGTAAGGGGGTAGATGATGTCACATGCCACAACTTTTTTATCATTCTAAGTAACTAGTTCTGTCTGGTGGGCACTCCTGAATATTATACAGGTAGTTCTCATCTCATTTAGCAACCATAATTGGAACAGACAACTTGGTCATTAAGCAAAGCAGTCACTAAGTGAAACATCACATGACCATGTCTGTGCCTATAATTTTATCTGGGCTTTCCTTTGCTTTATAGTGTTAGAAGGATATGACCCCCAAGCACTCCAAATGGCAAAAAAGGAGCAAGGAGTAAAATGACAAATTTTATAGACCTTTTTCCCCGGCCCTTCACCTTTTATAATGCTGATCTCAGGGCTGTGATAATTGGCAAGATCATAATTGATGTTTGTATTTACATTTACATTCATTTACTTTATTTTTATTCATTAATCAAATGAATATAGCTGCCTAGCTCATAAAAAGTGGTTCATTGGAGAGAAAGGGATGACAAGAGAATAAGTGGGTATGTAATGAAAGCAATGAAAGCCATGCGCTGGCCTAGCACACTCGCAGTTATGAGCCATGAGCTGCTTAGGAAGCAGTTGAAAGCCTTCAGTATGGAATTTCAAGTAGCAACTCTGAGGTGGCTAATTAAGGTCACAGAGCTGAGCTTGTTAACTTGCAGTTAGCAGTTTTTAGGGATTCTCTATACTGTGGAGAAAAAACAGCTCAGGAAGAGATTGCTTGTTAAGGCAATCCCTCTGTTCTACAAGAGGAGAAGAATAAAGATAGGTCAGGACAATGGATACTTAGTGATTGTAGCTGTGAATACAGAGGGAGAGAGGGAGGGAGAAAGGGAGGGAAGGAGAAAGAGAGGGAGAGAAAGAGAGAGGTGAGGAGAGAGACTACGAAGATTGTGATGCGAGCAGTGGTTGCAAAGTTTCTTTTCCATCACTATCGTAACCATGAACGGTTGCTATCTGAGGCATTCGCTAAATGAACATTACCTGTACATTAAATATACATTCAGTGTTGTCAATGTATATTATTAGAGGTGAAGTCTTTGTGAGCTACAACATGATTATGCTGTAGAAAGAGCTTTGAATATTTAAGGCAAACATGAGCTTTAGAAAAGCAGAATTCAGCCATAGAATGAACATGTCTATATCATGGAAGATCTTGGGAAAAAAGAATCCTCTGGGAGGTACAGTATTAGACACAACAAAAGAAGAAAATGATTTAGGTGTCCTCATAGAAGATGACTATAAAATGAGTAAACAGTGTGGCCAGGCACCTATGAAGGCAAAGAAAATTCTGGGATGTCTCGCTAGAAGGATCACCAGCAAGAAAATGGGGTCCCACTATATAGGACTTAAGTCAGGCCCTATTTGGAATACTGTGTACAGTTCTGGAGACCTCACTTAAATAAAGATATTGTTAAGATTGAGCTAGTCCAGAGAGGGGCAACAAAAATGGTGCAAGGTCTGAGGGAAAAAATATATCAGGAGAGATTGGAAAACCTGAATATGTTCAACCTGGAGGAAAGAAGAGAAAGGGAAGGACATGATTGAAACCTTTGAATATACAGTATTAAGGCTGTGAATAAGATTGTAGATTGCAGCAGGGGTGCTATTTAGCAGGTTCTGACTGGTTCTGGAGAACCAGTAGTGGAAATTTTGAGTAGTTTGGAGAACCCGCAAATACCACCTCTGGGTGGCCCCAGAGTGGGGTGGGAATGGAGATTTTGCAATATCCTTCCTCCAGGAGTGGGAAGGGAATGGGGATTTTGCAGTATCCTTCCCCTGGAGTGGGGTGGGAATGGAGATTTGCAGTATCCTTCCCCTGCCAGGCCCACCAAGCCATGCCCATCAAGCCACACCCACAGAACCGGTAGTATAAAAAAAATTGAATTCCACCACTTGATTGCAGTACTTTCAATATTAAGCAAAAATCAAGAAAC